ATGTTTAAGGGGAGCCCCAAGTCCTGCAGACCCAGGAGAGAAGCTAAACTATATTTAACAGACGACACAAGTTGCATTCCAGATGTACAGTACTATCTTTGTGTTAAGCTCTATGGAAATGTATTGGAGAGGCGGAAGGGGGAGGAGGGGTGTAAGGCGGGAGAGGAAGGGGGTTACACTCACTCAGAGGGGGGTTGTGGGGTGAGAAGGACCCCAGAGCACAGCTGCTGAACTAATGCCTTTATTCCCCCCCAAACAGAAAAGCAGAGAGCGGTGGCTCATTGACAGAAGCATGCAAAAATACAGAAGGTGAAAATAGAGTCATTCATTCAAAAGAATAAATTTGACAAAAAAAAAATGCCCAGGCTGTGTCGTGACTTAACGAGTAACAGGCACAATCTGTCACAATGAAGTCCAAATTAGGCCTCAGATTAGCCGTTATTACATTAAAAATGTTGAAGTCAAGGATTTAATTTAAAAATTGCTCAGCTCCAAACCAGACTTGACTGCAGCTGCTACACCCAAACCCAGTTCACACTGCCACCAGGGAACCACTGCTCCCTTTGCACTAAAAATCTGATTACAAACACACCACAAACAGATTTTTTTTTTTTTTTTACTTTTGTGTTGGTTTGTTTTGTTGCCTCTGTGGCATTTGAAACAGAGTGACAGATCGACGCGTGCCTAAGCTCTCGTTTGACTCAGATTGTGATCATCAGCGTTAAGACAATTAAACTCCACCAGCTGAAGGGAAAATGGTTCTTTTTTTTTTTTTCCACCATAAAAAGATCTCTGTAAATATTTACAGCACAATCCTTTTCCATTTATTCACCAGGCGCTAACAAAACCTCACTGTACTCCCTCTGTCTCCCTCGCAGAGTCCTCACCACCAGCACCCCACCTTTCCTACATCTGCGATTCATTGACTTTACAATTTACCACATGTCGAGATGGGAGAGGTCGAGCCTCGAACTGAATCACGGCACAAATATGCGAGTGATTTATTGTTTTTAAAACCCCGAGCCGATTTAGAGCAACTCCACTTTTCCCGAGCATTACTCCTATTGGCAGACCATGAACAATTACAGTTTGGACTAATTAAGCTCAGAGAATGTGCTGTGCACCGCTAATGTCAAGCAGACTCCGGTTTCAGTTTAACGGTGCCAAACTTTGCTCCCCAGCTTCCCCCTCGCCTCCAGCTCTCCAACTTAACTCCTCAAATCCAAAGCAGATTGAACTTTTTACGACTGTTTATTGAGTCAAAGAAATAAAATTTTACCCCCAAAAATGACATTTTTCTTTCTCGTCCTCGCAGAGGATGAGAGGAGCAGCGGAGAGAAGGGACCAGTGGGGAGGGAGGGAGACGGAGAGTGGGAGCCGCTAATTCCGCCATACTTCTGTAAACAAAAGTGATTTGCAAGACAAAAGGAGCGCAACCTTCCGACTATATTCAGAGTGCATTTTGCAGCTTGAGGAGGGGAGAGGAGGGGAAAAAAATGCAGCCACGTCGTGCCACGGAAACCCCCGCGGACACCAATTAGGCCCGATTAACATGTAAAGCCAATTTGATAAGGTGTGGGCCCTATCCCTTAAATCCGCATTAAAACCATCTTTCCTCTTGTCACAGCCAAAAATCCATTTACACCAGCCGAACGCACAATCCATATGATGTACCATTGTTATGCTCATGCTGCTGACATGTTGGGGAAAGATACCGTCTGTGCCATTTATTACCCGATAAGGCCACAGGAATATGTGCACAGTGAAGAATAGTGCACTCATTTATGCATCTTCCCTTGTAATGTTCCGTGAATAAAATCTTGAATGATTTCCTAAGAAAAATAAATTGAGAGGTGAAACCGGTGCGTATACAAAAGTGGATTTATTTCCCAGTAATCTGCAGCAAGACGAGCGGAACAAAGACGGAAAAGCTATTGTTTCAAGCGCACAAAGCCTTTTTTTTTTTACCGTCTTCTAGAAGATTCACTGCAGCTTCTGGGAGCATCTTTTTCCTTTCCTCCCTCCATTCTGAACACATAGGTGGATGCTCAGTCTTGCATTTTCACCCCCCTCCTACCCCACCACCATTCGCCCCACCTCTACTTGTTCCTTTACACAACTAGTCGTAATTATACGTCGAAACTCAAAACCTCTGCCAAAAGTCTCCGGGCCTGGAGAATTATATGGGGCCAGGAGTGGCGTCAAATATCTTAACATTCATAAGTCCGAGAAGCACTAAATAAAGCCGGTGGATTTACGGCCCCGCAGCCTCCGACACAGGAGAGCTGGCCGCCCCAGATCCCACTCTTCTCCCTTCCCTCGGCCTCTGCGTCTCCAGACCTGTTGAGGTGCGATGTTAGCCCACAGCACCGGAGTTAACCCGCTGCCTTTTGTATTTTCCCTCTCCCCTCACAAGCTTCACGTTAGCCACGGCGAGAAACAAAAGGTAGATGCAGAAAGGAGAAAGACATGGGGGGTGGGGGGGGGGGGGGGGGGGAGGGGGGGGGGGAAAAGGAACAAGGAGGACCGTTAAAGGAGATGAAAAACCAGGGTGAACTTGGCAGGCCACTTCCCCAATTCAACCTGCACCCTGGGATTCAGCAGGCCTTTGTGTGAGGTTTGAGGGAGGAGGGAGACGGCAGGAAGAGGAGAGGAGGAGACAAGGGCAGGAAGGCTTTTAAAACCCGGGCACAGCATCATGTCAAATTGCTAAATGATACTAAATTGTGAGCCTTCTTGGATTTAGGCGGTAGGAAAACCAAACTCTCACTGGTTATGGCTCCCAGAGGTCAGACGGTAATGGCCTCATGCAGGAATTTCCCCCCTCTTCAGTCATTCAAACACAAAAATAACGCAAACAGTTTAAGATGTCCAGAGGGATTAAGGGAAGTGACAACTGATGGGACAAAAAAATTGCAATTTAAAATATGTATATGAAATATAAAATACACATTTCAAGGCCTAAATTCATCCATTAAAATAAGAATGTCTTTGCAACGCCATAAGAGGAAAAAAAAGAACAGACGAAGAGAGAAAAAAGAAAACGCACCATGAATCAAAGGCTTTCATGACAAGTCGGACAAAGTCTCATACTAATAATGCTGGCAGTCATATTCGGAGCCTAACATGACATGTTAGGGAGCAAGACAGCTAATCAATGTCCAGGTGAATTATTTATACCAGCTTTAAGTTTAATAGATTTATATTACAGCCACCGCTGACTTCAAAGCTCTAATGGTTGGACACACAGGGCGCTGAAGACAGAGGGGGCCGAGACAGTACGGAGGGACGAACCGAAAACCACCTTCTGATAAAATATTTGTCCTGGGGAATTAATATGAAATAACTTTGTCTGCAATTAAGCAGATTTTGAGATTATTTTTGCCTTGATTTTTTTTTTTTTTATGGAACAGAGATGATAAATTATGGGAAAAAAATGTGATTTTTGCTAATCAAAGCACATTATTTTTAGTTAATTGCACGTGGGGGGAAAAAAGAGCAATTAAAGTGCAACATGAGGAAGCAAAGGTCAACTGCCTGTCACCGCAGCATCTCTCAGACATACCAAAATTTACAGCTTTTCTAGCTGCCGAACAACGAAGCGAGCGCTCCGCAGACTGCAACAGGGCACAGCGCTGTGCGATACACACACCAAGAAAACCAAAAAACTCCTGCCACTGAAACAAGGAAGTCCTTCACTTCGAATCATGCGAGTCGTCGTTGTGAATGTGTGTTTGTGTCAGCGCTGATGAGAACAACTGGATGACTAATTCCACATACCAGCCGGCAGCAGCCTTAACAGGAGAGGGGGAAAAAAAATGGCAAAAAGGTTCTCCTAAGTGAAAGACAGAGAGGATTCAAAGAAAAAAAATGATTTCACGTGATACAACCGGTGATTGAGTCAAGAGCAGAAATTGTGTCAAGCACAAAAGAAGGCATTATGTGTCAGATGTGAGCTCATTTTCTAAAGGTGTGCACATGCAGGGTACAAAAAAAAAAAAAACTGAGGTAACAAATATCAGTTTCGTTAAGCAGAGCTGAGTTAGTGGGTCATGTTTCCTGCTGCCTGGTCTTTGCCTTAACCTTGTAAAATGAGATGACAGGTTCTAAAGCAAAGACTTGTAATTGCAACCATTAAAAAGTATTGGGGAAAAAAAAACTACTTTAAAGGACTCCCATATTAAGAACAGTGTGCTTGAGTCAAATAAATAAATGGGAAAATAGCACAAATTATAAATGCATGTTTAAAGGGCACAGGCGTTGGTTAAAGGTAGCAGATTCCCTTCAGGTAGAAAAGGCGGCACACATGCACAGCAAAGCACATTAACTGCACAATCATTTCCAATAAATAAATCAAGCTTTTAACATATTTTCATATAATTACAGCCATTTATAGGCCTCTATATATTATAGGAAGAATAGATAATAGTTGCATGCATGCACCTTCCAAACAATATTCTTCCATCTTTTTTTTCTTTTGCTACATGCAAATCACTTTGAAAGGCTCATTTGCATGTATTTATTTTATTTGCTGGGTTTTACACTGTTTTACACAGCTTTCAGTGTGTCAGAGAGCCATGCATGTGTTGGAAAAAAGGGCATTTTTGATGAGGGCTGTGCAAACACAAATCAGCTGCATTATTCAATAGGGTAAAATAATATATCATGCACTTGTTGTAGCCTGGTTTCAACTTGTACAGAGACATAAACTGATAAGAAGAGGAAGAGAACGAAGAACGAGGTTGTGCGTTTCATTTTAAAGATGCTAAACTGGAAGCTTAAGGACGCCACCGGCCATTATTGTTTGCTTTTTCTTCCTTGTGTTTAGCAAGCAGAGTTAGCAGGCTGCACGCGCTCGCAGTTGTACTGTGCACTTCAGGTGCAGTTGTAAAACTTGGCTCTGAACGTTTCTGGGCGACAATCTCTAATTTGTGGCAGGCACCGTGCGTGTGAGGAGTGTGTGAACAAATCCAGCAGGAAATTAAACAAAATGAACTTACTGTGCGTGCTGTCGGAGAAAGTGATCCGTTGGGGAGGTAGGGGCTTGTGAGATCGGGGATCATTATAAACGGGTAGCCCGGGTACGGTGGGCTCTTGAACAGCCCTCCATCTTGCCTTTTCGCAGCTAACATGGCGGGGGGTGAAGAGGAGGGGAAAAACAGAGGAAAACTTTTTAATAAAGTGGGAAGACGTTAATTCCAGGGTGTAGCATTTTGAGGAATAAGTCAGAGGAGACACTCCTAGTCTGTCAGGCACAAATGTCACCATGCAAAGAAAGTAAACTCACCCTCTTCTAAACTTTCTCGCGTTTTGTCTCTGAAAGTTTCAGATCTAGGCGGAGGCCGTCTTTCCGCCTTGAAATGCAACGAAACACAAGGATTAAATGTAGGCGGATTTAGTGAACTTTCTTCAGCGTACAGAACACAGTCGGGCCTGGGAAATTAAAAAAAAGTCGACTTCAAACTTCCCCAGCGCCGACGACGGGAATCGATCCCGAAACTTACCTCGGAATCCGACGAGCTGTTCTGGTTGGTTTCCGACTCGTTTACGAGCGAGGACTTGACATCTGCTAAATCCCTTTCTGCCGAGGAGTTCTCCGAAATCTTCTCCTCCTGCTCCCCTTCGTCTTTGAAGGAAATCATTTCATCGTTCGCACCCAGATCGTCCCCTCCACCGCCGTTGAGCTGCGGCATTTTTCCCCCCGAAAAAAAAAAACCCAACAACTTGATTCGTAGGGGCAAAAAAAAAAACCTGCAAAAAGTTTAAACCCTTGATCTGGAGAAGTCCGAGTTTAAGTGTTTTAAAAGCGGGGTTCTCTTCTATTTGTCTCCCCTTATCCAAAAGCTCTGGCTGCTGGTATGAAAAGTATATTTAAAAAAAAAAAAAGGGGGAAAAATCTTGGCAGGAAAAAAGGGGAAGCCGGAGAAGAAGCCGAGCCGCTCGGATTGAGTGAGTTGAAGTTGGTCGGAGTGGTTTTCAGTTCAAAGGCGGCGCTGATTGACAGATAGAGAGGGATGGAAATAGAGAGAGTCTGGATTCGGGATTATTGACAGGGAGAAACACACAAGAAACTAATGAGATTCAAACAGGGAGGGACTTCAAGTGACGTTTTCATAAATAGGAGGGAAAAAAAAAAAAAAAGGAGGGGAGGAGAAGAGAGGGAGTTGTAGGAGGAAGAAGAGGAGGAAAAAGGCAGTTTGGGAGCAGGACAGTGATGGTAAAATAGCAGGTTTTTGCTTGAAAATGTGGATTAAAAGCACATATGGGCGGTCTCCCAGTGGGTGCAAAAAAAAAAGAAAAGAGGGCACTTCCTCCAGGCTGTTTGACTCCTCTATTCCTGACCAGCTTGGGCCAAATAAACTAATATAAAAGCCTAAATTAACACGTTCTTCCTCAGCTTTTATACCCTTAAACAGCCAGTGTATCAAAGCAGAATGACTCCGAGCTGTTGTTGTGATTTGATCTGCTTCGTCAGCTTCCTTGGATCTGGTTTTCCATTTTATTGGCTAATGTTTGGCTTAGATCTGTTTTATATATTTATTTATTTCTGAGGCGTTTTTGCATCCTGGTTTCCTGACAGGTGTGACGTCCTCTGAGAATAAACCTGAATTCCTCACAGAATGAGCTGTTCATATATATATATATATATATATATATATATATATATATATATATATATATATATATATAGCTGATGCTGCAGATTCAGATGCTTCTTATTTTAGTCTGAAAGCCACAAATGAAAGGTGTTTTTTTTTTTTTTGGACTGTTTGCAATAAATGCAACATTGAGGCTATTTTGTCATAATGTAAGCTAAATAATTAGATTTTGGCTTTATTTTCTTACTTTTAGCTATTTAACAATAATGACTGTTATTGTCTTATTTTATTTTATTTTTTTTAAACAAAACACCTAAAAGATGTGATAGTTACGGGTAAGTGTAAATTCAATAAATGCTAAATGTATGTTTAAATTTGAGAGGGCTCCTGGAGCCTGCAGTTGACTACGAGTATATATTAGTCATCCGGCAAAACGCAGTTTCTGTTATCTGCCAAAAACTGGATGCAGCAATCACAAAAACATCAATTAATTTTTTTATTTTTTTTTTCAGCTGCATGAAACTGAGCTAACACACTCACATGACGCTGCCTTGCAAAATGAAACGGTGCAAGATCAAACCCAGGCACCGAAACGTTGATTAAAAAATATTGTCTCATGTCTCCACGCTGTAAGATGCATGAAAACAAATATTATGACACTAATTCTTCTGCGTGTAGGGCTGTCAGACGGCGCTGATGGGGAATTATGAGCAGCTCTGAGGTGCTGCAAGTCTGCCCGGACCAGGCAGCACCATGACAGCAGATGACTACACTCCCTGATGTTCTGGATCTGGACCAGGTGGAAGCTGCTTGTGTTCTAGCTGGCTGCAGCTCGTGCACACAGCAGCGTTGCGCGTGCAGGAAGGGGCTGCCGTTGCATGGGTTTACATCCAGTGTTTGTGGTAGGTGGCCTCCACCTGGATTGCTTGAGCAGGTTCAGTTTAGGCTGGCAGGATGTCGTGGGGACACCTGTCTGATGGTGATTCTAATCTACATGATGACTGCTGCTGCTCTGGATGATGGAGCACAGTGGCTGCTGCTTTTCTTTATTTCTGTTCTGTGCTTTGCATGTTCACCTCTGCCCCTCGTGGCTGACGACTGTCCCCCACCCTGTCCCCACTCAAAATGTAGACGACGTCACTCAGGACGGTTTGTTCACCTCAACAACTTTCAAATGACGTAATAGAAAATGCAAAAACAAAATCCCTCGTTTAACTGCAATACATATGAACCACGTTTACGTCTGACATGTTGAGATAAACATATTTGTAAAAATAAATACTTTTTAAAATCGACACATATATTTAGAAAGTAAAAATGGATGAATCAGTTTAAACATTTAAACTCGAGCTCTATGTTTCTGAAGTGTTGACATAAAAAGTATTTACTAAACTTTTTTTTTCTGATTTGTACTTAAAAAAATAACTAAAATAAGACACTTGTTTCTGCCTCGGTTGAAAAAAATATGCATAATAGATATAATAAGCATTCCATCTGTAACGCACATGATTTATCGTTTAGCTTTTGTTGTTTTGCAACTTTACACAATAACAGTTTGTTTTTTCTTGTTTTTATTGAAAGAAATGATTTTACCTCCATATCAAACCACTTTAAAGTGTTATGCAAAAATATTAAAGCTTTTAACCTTAATTAATAACGGTATCACTATGATTAAGTTTTATTACAGCATTTCATGGCTGTGGGAAGCAGGGGTGTAGCGGGTGCAACAGATTTGTGCTCGAGGACATGGATGTCTAAATACATAAAGAGATAACTAAATTTAAAAAAACATTCTATTATTCTATATATAAAAAGAACATTTGCTGAATTAGGTTTGAATAAACAGAAATGAGCAAATATAGCTAAAAATAAGCTGAAATTAGCATAAAACAGCTAAATAGTGTAGTAGTTGAAATAGCAGAAAAAGCTGAAACTAGCAGAAAAAAGCTGAAAGGAACATAACCAGCTGAATTTAGCAGAAAGTAGGCTTAAAATAGCAGAAATTATGCTGAAAAACTCTTAATTTCTCTGAAAACAGCTAAATTAATAAAAACTGATTCAATTAGTGCTGGATAAGTTTAATTACAACCCTGTCTTCATACTAATGAGTTTTTCTGCTTTTTGTCCTGCATATTTGGCTTAGCATTGTTAGCACCCCACAGCTAAAACAGCTATGCAGCTAAAAAGAAGTACCATATTTTTTGCTGTATAAGTCGCAGTTTTTTGCATAAATTAGCATGCCTGCGACTTATACAGCGAAGCGACGTATTTATGTTTTTTCCCCATATTTATAACCCAATTTTTGTCTGAGATCTGATGGAAAATATTGAACACTACGATTTTAAGGCACTAGAGGCCCTCGACACATATGGCAAGCCAAGTGTCTCATTAATAGGTAAATGTGGCTATTAATGAGACACTTGGCTTGCCATACTAAGCCACCTTCGTCTCGCTCTGGAACTCCTGGAGCAAACGTCTAATCAGTTGCATTTCACCTGGGTGACACGACGAAATGCAACTGATTTCACCGTCAAAGTGCATTTATTAAGTAAAAGTTCAACTGAGACACACCTTTACTATAATGTCAAGCAAAAAAACAATTGTTTTTAGGTGGTTATCTTGTTAAATTTCGAAGAAATGCACAGCGAGTCATTCCTCTGCTCGCTCCTGCTTCTGCGTATCGGCTTGTGAAATGCAACTGATTAGACCGTCTAAGTCCTTTTATTAAGGAAAAGTTAGACTGAGACACACCTTTGCTATAATTTCGAGCAAACAAATAATTGTTTTTAAGTTTTAATCTTGTTAAATTCTTGTTAAAGTCCTCCCGTGCACGCTCCATTTGGCAGCCAATCGACTTTTGGCACAACACCGGCCCACGTTTCCATGTTGTCAGCGGCGACGCATAATAGATGCGACTTATACGGCGAAGCGACATATTTACGTTTTTTTCCTCTTTATTAGACATTTTTGGACTGATGCGACGAGTACGGCAGCAAGTACGGTAGTTCATGCAGTATTTGACACCCTTTTACCTATCGATCTTGCTCATTTGTGTACAGCTGCTTCCAGTTGTTGTTAAGAAGCACGCTAAAAAAATAATTCTGCCTGAACGCTCATTGTCACCGGTGACAAAGTCGTACAGAAAACCCATATTATAAAAAAAAACAAAAGAACACTCACTTCGAGCCTCAGCAACACGTTGCACACATCATCTACGCTCTTAAACAGTTAATTATCCATCAAGCTTCCACGGTGCCAGCAACAGCCAGTAAAAAGTCTCTCATTACCTGATTAACATTTTACCACTGGACATTTTCTGCCTTTTTCCCCCTCACAAAACTCGACTTCTTTTACGGTAACAGATTCACTCCTGCAGTAATGTTTATTTCCTAATTAAGATTTACTACATAACCTCAGCTACTTTTAGCTGAATGCCATTTTCCCCCATTGTTGGGAGCCATGCTGTGCAACATTTTTGGCATTTATTGACAGTACGGCTAATATAAATTCTATCAGTGTGACAATACTGTAGTTAGCTGTAATTACATCTATACTAATGGTCCTCGTCATTATTTTGGAATGGGAGATAGAAAGCAATATTAGCTGATTATGAAAAGCATGTTTTATGCTGTTTATAATTCATTTGAGTAAAAGCAAATCAGATGACAAATGCATTTGTAAATGCCAATAATGTTGGCACTGTTTCATTTCTGCATTAAAGTGGTTTTTATGTGCATTTTTCTACAAACGCATGTTCTTTCTGCTCCGCTGGAACAACGAGACGTTTCTTTGCTCCTTCACCTCACATCGTTAAACAGGACAATGTGTTTGAAAAAGTTTAACGAACCTGCAGTCACATGTAAATAGTTTAAATGTCTTTTTTTTTTTTATATATATGAATCAACAAATGGTTTTTAATGCAACTTTCAAGAATCACTGCAATGGCTCAGCTTTTGGAGCCAGTCCAATTCAAGATGGCCACCACCGCCATCTGTCCTTCAGAAACACAAACATTTCCATCAGTTTTACAGAAGTAAATTCAACCACTAAAGATATTTGTCAACACAAAATGGCAATATTTCGGTCAGTTTTACCAATTTTAGGCTCGTGTTTGTTGTGGTAGTAGTTGAGGATAGTGTATTGATCATCCTCCAATAACTGCATGAGACTGTGCATAATGTTGTTTTAAAGGTTTGATTAAAACAGCGACAACTTCTCAACATAAAATGATTTTAGTCTAAAATGCTGGTATGAAAGGTCGTGGGTGATGTGCATTGCTTCAAGGTATATAACTTATTCCAGAGACGGAAATGTTGCTATTTAGGTTTAAAAAAAAGAATGAAAAGTTTCTGCTCTCATCTAAAATCAATACTTTCTCCTTGAGACACAACAGACAGCACAAGCTTTTTATTAGTTTGTGAATTAAGAAGTAGAATAGATCAAATGTCAAAGCTTT